GTTAGAAAGGAATAAGCAGCCTTTCTAAAAAAAAAAAAAAAAAAAAAAAAGTCTCTTTCAAATACTTCTATAATTTAATTCTTGTTCTTGCTTTACTTGGTGTAAATGCACCTTTTTTCTAACTACAGTTTAGAGGATCTATTGGCTAACCTGAAGGTTTTTCTTAATCAATGAGTTTGTCAGCACTGCTACTTATTGTATATTTCATCGCATTGAAATGTTATTTCCTATTAAAAGAAACAGAAGGGGGAAAACACTTGAATTGTGTTATGCAAAGAAGGTATACATCATAAAGGACCAGAGTTGCCATCTCAAGACTTCCATAGAACACAAACAAAAAGCTTTCGAACATGTAGAAGATCTAGGCATTTCTTTTTGAAGTCACAGAATTACAGAATGTAATCTATCTAATAGGAAAGAATCTCTCCCTACTCCCTCCCTCGTTCTCCATTTAACCTGGGATTTCCCACCGGCCCAAGTGGTTAAATGTATGTCTATAGAGATGCCAACTAACCCCTAATAGAGAATCTGTCTCGGTTGATAGTGTCTGTAACTGTATGATGAGATTATGAGTTAGAACCATAATGAGGTTGTGCCTCAAGTGTGCATGATATGCAAGTAGATTATGAATGAAGGAACTAGTAAAGAGTTGGGTTATCCTAGAACCTTATGATGCTCCCGATGAATTGATTGAGCTTCGAGGAACCAAACTACAAGAACCAATGAATCAATAAGAGCTCTAATAGTGCTGAATGATGAGAAGCCACGAAATTACCAAACAAGAACTCTAAGTTGAGCTTGGGTGAGCTAGCATAACCTAGATGAGCCTATGACTTAGAAATGTGACATCTAGGTACGTAATAAGACACATGAACAACTTAACGAAAGTGTATGACATAAGACTTAGAATAAGCTAAGAGCCTACAAGCAAGCTACTTCCCGAATATTTTTATGCTCACTCATTCTACTTTTTTTTGTCAAATGGAAACTAAATTGCAGGATCGAGGTGAGGGCGTATCAAGCTATGGGGCTATAGAGGTTGAATAGAGTCTTGATTTCAAACTCTTGAAGATTTTCATGTACATGTTTTGATGTTGTATTTTGTAAACTGTCCCTGATGTCTTTTTTATGGACTTGTACTGTTTTATCTTGATTTAAAGTTAATGCATGCATGTTTTCAAATTAAATCAAATTATTATGTTGTTTTCAATTTCTGCGCCAGTTAGTGGCAATTCATGCCTCGAGTCCCTCGAAAAGTAGGTCGTTACACAAATCCACCACAAAGCTAATACCTTTATTGCTTCTTATATTAGCTCTCCCACTTACAAGAAGCGATAGAAACAGCACAGTACTATAGTTTATTTTAAAAAGTTACAAATATGCCAACTCCGCATGACAAACCATAAACAACAGAAAGTGATATTAGAGGAAATATACAGTTCAGATCAGCTCTTCTAGACAACCCTCTGGGAAATTGCATAATATTACAGAGAGCAGCTTGAAAATTTCAGAAAGCCATTGCAAGAAATAAAAAGAAAGAGAAATGGAGGTTATGCGAGAAGAACCTGGTGGGTAACAGGATCCAATTCAAAGACCTTGGTTGGGCTACTTTCAACCCAGGAAGTCTTTTCCTCTAGTGTTAATGTTTCCATTAGATCTTCATTGATGTGAATGCTTGGTTCATACATGAATGTCACAGTTGCTGCAGGCGACCATTTTGCATGATCTTTACCAATGCCCTTCCTGGCTATGGCTCTCAACCTCAATTCTTGACCCCGACGTAGCTTCACAATGATTATTCCTCTACAATTATCACAAAACCCGCTCAAATTGAGGAGCAATTATTTCACTAACCACAATGATACTAGATTAAAATGATATTTTCCGCATTACAATTTTTTTTTTTTCCTTTTTATGTAAATTTCAGACAGGCAATTTAGTAGAATGCAAGAAAATTCATCATTAAGGTAGTGAGGTGCGTTGGCATTCAGTCAAACAGATTATTGGTGTCCCAACATTTATGTTTGCTCACCATAGAACATGAAGCATAAAAACCAAAGCACAAAAAAATACAAGCGAAATCCAGAACCATGAAGATGAACTCATAAACCTGTTCTAACACAAGCATGTTATCACAACTATCCGCCTAACATGAAATTGCTACCATGTGAGTGAACCAAGAAGCAGAGGAAAATGACAGCATCCAATAGAAAATGAAAAGAATGTTACCTTACAATAATGCAGGAATGTTGCATAGCAAAGAAAGAACGCATTATAACTTTGGCGGTCAAGCTCCAAAGTAGAAGTGATAGACTATCTCTAAGATGTATTTTCACCCAAAAATTTACCTTCCATTTGTAAACCGAATAGCAGATGTCGTTGCATACTTAACAGTACAGACCACGAATAAGTCTACCCAACTACATGCAATAATCACCTAAAAGCTCAAATGAATCTCGCTGGGAAAATAGAATCAACAAACATGTCTACGAGACGAGACACATGAGAGTAAGAGGAAATACTTGGTATCAAGCGCTTCACCAGCAGCAGCTGCAGAATCAGAGAAATCAACAGGGACAACAGTGTGATCAGAACTATAGAGATCCTTGCTGGAGACGTCTAGGGTTTGGTCAGAGTGGCACTTGGCACGAAGGTGAAACTCGACAGAGCAAAACTCGCACTGGCCATCACCATCACAAGCATCACAGTCGCGAGAGAAGCGCATAGACATGGCACGCTCGCTAGTGAGGGGAATGAGACCGAGGCGATGGGCGATGAACTCATCGTTGAGAACTGAGGAGTTCACTTCAATTTCTACCAGGTCGATGGCGATGGTGGGGACCTCGGCGATCATGACGCGACGGAGGGCGTTGGCCATGCTAACATCAGTGTCATGGAGCTCGAATTTGGCATAGTCATCTCTGAGCTCTCGGATCTTCACCTTCGGAAAGCGCTGGTACGATGCCCCTTCCATGGCTCCCTACTCTCTCTTCCGACTTCCGAGGGTTTCTGAGTGTGGAGACCTTCTAAAAGGCTGTTGGTGAAAAACCGACCCGGTCCGGTCTGCCAGTGAATAGACTCGACCCAAAAATATCTTTGATATTTAAAAAACGTTTAAAAATTTTCAAAAAAAATACTCTCTGTCCTCTCAAAAAAAATATTAAAAAATCTTCTTTCACGGAGATTAATGAGAAGTATTATTAATATTTGAAATGTCGTAGTAACAATTTTGAAAGTGGCTCGTTCAAAAAGGACATAATAAATTTTTAGGACGATAATTTTTCATGGAGAATTTGTAGAGATCATGTTCTTGTCGAGATTTATATATATATATATATTTTAAATATTCTTTTCAAAGATTTTTTATTATGATTTTTATTAAAAATTTATAAAACATCTTAGTAAATACAAAAAATATTTCATAAAAATTATGATTTTTTTATTTATTAAAATATATATATATATATATATATATATATATATATATATATAT